CATACGTCTATGCCACAACCATGAGTCCTCATTCATAGTCACGAGACATTTGTCGCTACTCAATGATACTTCACTCAAATCCAGCATATAGACATTATTTACCCTCAAGCCATTAAACACATCCTTCTTTTTATCATTATTTTCAATCATGCAACAATCTTGTGAAAAAGATGCTTTGTATCCCTTGTCACATAATTGACTAATGCTAATGAGATTGTGTTTAAGGTCCTCAACTAGCAATACATCAGAGATAGTAGTAGACGAGGGATTACCTACACTACCTTTTCCAAGTATTGCTCCCTTGTTGTTGTCTCCATAGGTTACAAATCCCTTCCTCTTTGCCACAAAGTCAATGAAGAGAGATATGTCTCCTGTCATATGTCTTGAGCATCCACTATAGAAAACCCATTTTCTCTCAGTAGGCTCAAGACTTTGTACCTATAAAAATAATCAACGAAAATAGGTACCCAATCGTTTATTGGATCCTTGGTTGTGAGTGAAATCTTGGTTGCATTTAGGAAACCATTGATAAACCCCTTTAGGAACTAAAAATCTCCTAAAGCGACATTTAGCAATGGTGTGACCCCTTTTGCAACAATACAAGCAAGTATGGTTAACTTTTGTATCACTTTTGTTGTCTTGATTTATGACCACATATGTATATTTTTGATAAAGATTAATCATACTTTTTCTAAAATGTGCTCTATCAATAGAAAAAGTGATTTTAGGTTCTAGAGCCTTGTTATGTTTAGCCTTGAGAGTTCTAACCTCCTTTTGCCAAATATAACAAGTATCATACCCAAAGTTTACCCATCTATTTCTTTCTTTCTCACATTCCACCTTTATTCCATCCACTATTGATGCCTTTAGAGCCTCCAATTTCCTTTCGGAATCGAGGATCTTTTGCTCCAAATGAGCAAAAATTTGTTTGTTTGAGGCCAGTCGTTTAAAGGCTTCCTTTACTTCATGGTGTAAGGTATCAAAGACAGCTTGTAATTTAGAATGAGACAATCTAGTAGAGTTTTCATATTTAACATGTCGTACCTTTTTGTTTTTCTTCTTTTGATGAGCGGAGAGACAAAGGTTGACGAATTCTTCTTCGTCACTTGAACTATCATCCTCGGATGACTCGTTGTCGCTTTCCCAAGCGATGTAAGCTCTTCTAGGCTTAACTTCTTTCTTATGTAACAAATTGCTTTCCTTTCCTTTGTCCTTTTTCATCAATGGACAATCTGTCTTATAGTGTCTGGCTTTTTTGCAATTGAAGCACGACCCTCTAACTCTACTCCCTTTATTGCCTTCATTCTTAGAAGACCTCGATTGTCTTCTAAATTTGACGAGATTCTTTTTGGAATGTTGGATACCATTTTTCTTTACATAGCGATTATATCGCTTCACGAACAGCCCCATAACCTCATTCGTTTTGTCATCTTCGCCATCACTTGAGTCGCAATCACTCAGCTCTTTTGCATAGCACTTTGAACAAGAAGCTTTTAGAGCTATAGACTTCTTTTCCGTAGTTTTGGTCTTTTCCTTCTTTTCCTTTTTCTCAAATTGCTCGAGACTAAGAAGCACTTGCTCATGTTCTTGGAGCTTTCCAAAAAGAGTTGTAAGGTCCAAAGTAATAAGATTGTTTGCTTCCTTTATGGCGGTGACTTTTGATTGCCATTTTCTGGTAAGACATCTTAAGACTTTGGTAGTAGCAATATTATTGAAAATTGGTCTACCAAGTGAATTTAGTCTATTGATTAAATGAGAAAATCTTTTTTGCACGTCAGCAATGGTTTCCCCTTGCTCCATGTGAAAGAGATCAAACTCTTGAGTCAAAGTGTTGATTCTAGCTAGTTTAAAATCATTTATTCCCCCATGGGAAGCTTGCAATGAATCCCACATAGCTTTAGCAATCATACAATGTGAAACTCTATAGTATTCATCAACTCCCAAGGAGGAGATCAGAATGCTTTTAGCCTTCCAATCGTAATTGTGCTTTTTCTCGTCTTCATCATTCCATTGTGCTCCAGGCTTAGGCACAACCACATTATTTTTATCGGTCATGGTTATTTCCATAGGACCGTTCAATATAATGTTCCATACCTTCCTGTCAATGTAATTTATATGCACGCACATATAATCTTTCCAGTAACTATAGTTTTCACCGTTGAAAATAGGTGCTCTATTGTAAGCCCTTTATGGTTCGTTTGCCATATTCTAAGAAGTTATATGCAAAGCACAGAATGAACCGGTGCTCTTGATACTACTTGTTAGACGACGACATAAATCTAGAAGGAGGGTTGAATAGATCACTTATTAAAAATAGAGTGGGCGCTTACCAATATTTGGTTTTAAAAAGATTTAGGCAGAAATGGCCGAGGAACTATATTCGTCTAAACGAACCTTTACTAAAAAGACCGGATCTACACAAAGCATATGGAATCCGATAAAGACGAAATTTAGAATCACTAATTTGAACATACATCAACTAGATTTTATTCACTATAAGGTTGGACAGTTTCCAATGTATGTAAAATATAACCCAATTGAAAATATAGCACAAGTGTTTGTGTTCATGCAATCAGTCGAACACTTGGTGTGCAAGGCACCACAAGTGAACTTCAATATATGAGTGAAGTGTTATAGTATTCAATTACAATCAAGGAATATAATAAGGTTTCTAAAAATGGTTCAGCACTACACACATTAGAATTTTAATCAACTAAATTATTTGCAAACAAACTCAGAAATTAAGCAATTGAAAAATAAAGAGAGAACACCAATTTGTTAAGGCAGTTCCCCCGTCGTCATCGCTCGGGGTACGTCTGTCCTCAATTCTAAAAATAGAATTGAGACTAGTTTTAAGAGAAGCAATAGAATTAAAACAATAAACCCAATTATTGATCCAGAGCCTATTCCTTTTATTCCCTTGATTCAAGCTGAATAAAGTCCTTCAAACGTGATGAGTAAACCTTCGATTACAACACACCCTTTGAACAATCCTCTGGTCTTTAAATCTTGCCCGACTGATTTCAATCACCAACGCTTTGAACCCAAATCTTCCTCTTACAATCCTCTGGTTACCGCTACTAAACCGACAGAACCTCCCGTTCTTCGATTACCTTCGCTCGGCTGAATATGTGATGAACTGATTTGTGCAAAAAACCCCAAAATTCAAGATTCTTGGAGGACAAAACCCTAACGGTTTTATTCAAGAAAAACCCACTGATTTCTCAATCCAAACCTGATTACACCAATCCTATGTTTGGACGTTATCACCTCAATAAAGCAGAATACACAACAAAAATGATTATGTGTAGTTGTTGAGAAAATGTAAGAAAGAGGATGAATATGATGAGAACAAAATGAGTGTATATTTTCACTTTTCTTATTGTTAGTTGAAGAATAAGCCAACTCAATATATATGTAAGTGTAAAACCAATTAACCAACTTAACAAACACTTTGACAGTTTCACATAACAAAATTTTGGTGAAAAACGCGCAAGCAGTCTACCTATAGAAATGGAAGGATCGACCTGAGCTCACCCGGTTTTCAGATTATGCAGAAAATAACATTTTGCGTCGACCGGAACAGGTCATGTGTCGACGCAAAGGATATAAATTTAGACAGATAGAAAAGAACACAGTATGAGTCGACCGAAGGGTCGACGCTGGCACTCCTGAAAGTAGACCATGAAAAATGACTTCTGTATGAGTTGACCGAAACAGTTTTTGAGTCGATTCAGAATATGCAAAAATGCATTTTTCCATGTATTTAGCTACTTTTAAGATACTCCACCATATTGCAAGTTAGACCAACATGATCAAACCTATATGGAACACATATTTTACTTTTTCTATATGTACCTAAACATATTTTTGACTAATGTTTGACGTAAGAGAAATAAGGTATTCATATTCGACATGATGATACCGTCCAAAGTACATTTTTCTATTTATGTAGGTATTAAAATTTATCATGTCATTTTAAGTTTTTAACAATATTAAAAACTTTAAGAATGATATTATTGAGTTAAAAATAATTAAACATTTATATCAAATTGCGTACAAGTTTAATAATAATATATTTAATAAAATTAATAAATTAACATGAATACGTAATAAAAATAGATAAATATAAATATATATTGTACAAATATGGCGTAGAGTGAGTATTAAAGTATTTGTACCCACATCCACATTCCTTTATTTTAGTGGATAATTGTTTGTGTTTTTACTCGTACTCATTCATTTTTACTTACTCGTTGTAGATGATTTTTATACCTGTCTACTAGTATGAGTCCAATTGCCATCTCAAACTATACTAGACCTAAAAGAAATATAACTTATGCTTACAATTTTTTTATCTAATATTTTAATTGTTAATTTTTTTAAATCATTAAATAAAATATCTGAATTTAGATTCTGACTTAATTAGATTAATATTTATTTATTTAAATAATTCAATTTAATATTTTAATTTTAATGAAAGTATAAACAAATTTAAAATTAAAAAGTTAAATTTAAATTGAATTTTTTTTTCAAATAATCTAGTAGTTGAAAATTCACTTTTTATAAGTAAACAAATAGAATAAATAGAATATAGTAGATTCCAACTCACATACCTGTGTATGATTTTCATGCGTCTTACATGATTATTAACTAAACTGATTTAAGAAGATAAACTGAAAATATTATTAAGTATTCACAAATATAAAGCTCCAATCAAATTCCAAGTACCAAAAATGTTTTCTATTTTTCCTCAACAACATTTTGTCTTAATTACATGGATATTATTATTTCAAATATTTCAATTGACGTGTATTTTTCAATCTCTATATATCTCCCCCTTTTCTCTTTCTTTGTCATATCTTCAAAACCTCCATCAGATAGTAAGTATATTATTCCCATCCCACATCAAACCATACTCATCACGTCTCTTCTCCATCAAGCCATTCCCATCTCTCTCTCTCTCTCTCTCTCTCTCTCTCTCTCTCTCTAACAAACATATGGATCTTCCAGAAACATCTCTCTGGTGGACACAACAAAATCATCAACAACAACAACCTATGATGTTACTAGAACCAATCCAAACCACTCCTTGGCCACTCCACCACCACCAACCCCCATGGTTCACTTCACAAATCCACGAAAACGACGATGAACAAGTAGAAAACGACACCCCCGTTGTAACAAAACCCGAAGACGAAAAAGAACCAATGTTCGAGAAACCATTAACACCAAGCGACGTAGGAAAACTCAACCGTCTGGTTATCCCAAAGCAATACGCGGAAAGATACTTCCCACTCGGCGGTGGTGCTGACTCGGCCGAGTGCAAGGGTTTGTTACTGAGTTTCGAGGACGAGTCAGGGAAGTGTTGGCGATTCCGTTACTCGTATTGGAACAGTAGTCAAAGCTACGTGTTGACTAAAGGTTGGAGTCGTTATGTGAAAGATAAGCGTCTCGATGCTGGCGACGTCGTTTTGTTTGAACGACACCGTGTTGATAGTCAGCGGCTTTTTATCAACTGGAGGAGGAGGAATGGGAATGATGAGTCAGCGTATGTTAGCAGAGGGGTGGGACAACAAGGGAAGGGGACTGATAAGAATGAAGTTGTAGGCGTGGGTGTTGGGTGGTCCAGAGGATTCTATTCTGCGCACTTGCCTTATCCTACGCATCACCATCATCATCATCAGGTTTTGCCATACCAACATGATCATTGTCTTCATGCAGGTAGGTTTTGATATCTCTCTTCAATGCTATCTCATCTTAGTTTACATTCACATGATTCACATGATTCACATTCTAATCTAAAAACTAACAACTACTCATAAACTACCATCAATAATTATAGTTACTGCTTCGATTTTGTCCTTTAAAAAACCGTCTTGTTGAATTGAGATGTATAAGTGTTCTTAGTCTTGTTTTTAAGTAATACAAGACTATTTAGACAACGTCAGCTAAAGGACAATAACTCGAAGTCATAGTAACACGTTCTTGATGTTAATCGAATCGAAACAATTATAAATTATTGTTCAAAATATCCCTAAATTTTGAAAAGATGATTTGTCTAGTTCATTGTGATTTTATGTAAATAGATGGATTAATTTCTATCTCATCTTACTTTACATTCACTTGATTCACATTCTAATCTAAAAAGTAACAATTAATCATGTATTAGCATTATAAATCATTGTAATTGTTTTGGTCACTGAGAAATATTGTTGTTTAGTTTCAATTGAGACAATTGTTCTAACCTGATCGAAATAGTTTCACATTCCTACTAAGTTATCCCTCGATTTCAAACCCCTTCGAAGATTTGAATTATTTTTCAGTTCAGCGTGATTTTATGTAAAAAGATGGACTAATTTCTATAATTTCGTTGTGATTTTATTGTGAGCACCATTTTTTACTATTTTATTTTTCAAAAAAAAAATAAAGACAAGAAGATGAAAAGTTACATTCTCGTGGAAGTGCGTGAAGTCTACCTTCCAATTAATTGGGAGAAATGTGGGTTTTTGTTGGGATTTGTGAGAAGCCAAATCTTGTTTTTATCTCAACACCCGTGAAACACACGCGCCCATTTTCGTTCAATGGACATGCATTTTTTTCCTCCCAAATAAATTTTAAATTTTTAATATAAAAATAAATTGCAGGTTCAGAAAACTAGGCGGTGGTGTTTGATTTGTTTTTCCTTCACATCATCCTAATCAGAATAGAATTTTGAAATAGTTAAAAATTTCTAATTTTACTTTTACTTTACCTTTTTTTTTTGTTTGTACATGCAATAAATGATTATTATTATCTGAAAATTTTGAACCTATGCACGTGTTATAATATTACAGGTAGAGTATCCCAAGGACAGAACCAAAGGACGAAACCGGTAGGAAACAGTTCAAGTTCAAGAGTACTTAGGTTGTTTGGTGTTAACATGGAATGCCAACCAGAACATGAACATGAACACGATTCTTCTTCAACACCTCAATGTTCTTATGATACTAACAACAACAATAATATGTCATTAACACAATATCATCAACCTAATACTTCTAATTCTAACCCTCACGTGGTACGTCACCAACCATATTATTACTAGATATGTAAGTATACAACCTTTGAGGTTGTATTTTTAGTTATTTTTAGTTACTTTTGTCTTCTTTTTTTAATTAGGTGTAAGATGTATTTAGTTATGTATCGACTTTGGTAATTATAATTATTGCTAATTAATTAGTTTATGCATTAGTCTTTTGATTAACATGAAAAGGAATTGTTGTTGGTTGATTATTTAAGAATCATATTATTATTTTTACTACTATAGGTACGTTCATGTTGGTGATAGATTATAAAGATCTATATTTCTTGTCTTATTTTTTGGATTGCTTGAAAGTTTAGTTTGTTTGATCATGTTCTCTTTCTACACGAGTTAGTATAAAAATTCATGGACTAAATTAAGGTGGGCAAGAATGCAAAGGACATTTTCCCGATGCAGTTTTATTTTATGTACACACATTTTCCCAACGCAGTTTGGCTCTTCTTGTAAGATATGTAAACCTTTTCAATGATTAGAGTTAATTATTGAATATTCAAATATTAGATGACAAAATATTATTACCATAACCAAATAAAAGGTTATAGAAACTTTTTTTTACGGATTTTAACACACAATTTATCATTTATCAATAATTAGTGTGTGTGAGATTCAAAGCTATTTTCTTTAGAATGAAAGAAACATACTATTTTGTGACAGTTCAATTAGTAGTTATATAGGTTAAAAGTGATATTGATAATTCAAATACCGAAACGGTTACTACCGAGTGTAATTGGTTATGGCACAAAGGTAGAAGCACTTTTGAGTAGTAAAAAAGTGAAAATCTCGACGGTTTAATCGATTAACTTTAAGATTAAACGCTTATTACTAGAAGTAGTTTTAATTGTAATGTCAGTTTATAACTAGTTAATCAAATAGTATAACCGGTTACAGATCTGACTTTTGCAATTTTTCGATTATGTTGTTATTTGTTTTGGATTCCAATTAGTTTGTAACACTTGTATAAATGTATTAGATGTATTTTCATCCAAGGTTAATATAATTATCATTCTTATCCTAAATCTCTCTCTCTCTCTCTCTCTCTCTCTCTCTCTCTCTCTCTCTCTCTCTCTCATTTTTCTCCTTTCACTTTCCGTATTTTAATTCTCTCCACTATTGTTCACCAATCTTGTGGTTCAAAGTTCTAACATTTGGCATCAAGAGTTTGGTTCTGATCCAAAAACACCTAATGTGCAACATAAATTATGTTTGTAATGAAAGAATCCATACAAACTTACAAATCCTTGATGTGAAGAATTACGACAAGTGTTTAAGCAAATGAAAGTATTGTTTAGTTACCAAGATGTTCTTTAAGTGATCAAGAACGGGGTGAGTCCTCTTGTCGAATGTGCAACGGCTGCATAACAAGCAACACATAAGGAAGAGAAGAAGAAAGATTTTAAAACGCTGTTTTTTATCATCAATGCGTGGATGGTGACAACTTTGACAAAATTATTGATTGCGAATCATCAAAGCAAATATGGGAGATCTTATAGAAGGCCTATGCAGGGGCTGACAAGGTAAAGGTGGTGAGGTTACAAACTCACAAGCGTCAATTCTAATTGATTCAAATAGAAGAAAATAAGACATACATTCAACGATTTCACAACAAGAATCGCTCGATTAGTGAATCAAGTGAAGGCATGTGGAGAAACAGTCACGAAGCAGTATGTTGTCGCAAAAATATTGCGTTTTTTAACACTAAGATTTGACAATGTAGTTGTAACGATTGAAGAATCAAATGATCTTAAGACGATGAGCAAAGGGGAGCTGCAAAGCTCTCTTGAGGCTAATGAGAAAAGGATGAAGGAGATAAATAATGATAAGGCAAAGACGAAGATCACTTTGCAAACTCGCTTCAACGAGAAGGACAAGAGATCGAAAGGAAAATGATCCATGAAGAGTAAAAGGAATTTTTAGAATTTTGGTGGAAGAAAGTCCCAAAATTTCAGGAATTTGACTTCTCAAAGGGGTGAGAGCAGCTGCAACAAAAATGGTGATCAAGGCAGCTTTCGAGGTGAAAAAAATATGTTTGATATAAGCAAAGAGCAATGCTTTAGGTGTCATAGGTTCAGTCATTTTGCAAAGACTGCAGTGAGAATAAGAAGGAACCTTAATGAGATGAATCCAAGGTTGCAAGACAAGAGTTTGATGAAGAGAATACACTCTTAGTCATGATCACAGAAGGAGAATGCACCAACAGCAGGCTACGATACAACAACAACAACAACAACAATTCAAGGAATGTTGCAAAGTGAGTTGCCAATGGTTAAATGATATGGTTAATCGATTACATGCAGAAGAAAACATTGTGATGAGTATGAAAGAAGTTTAATGCAGCGAAGAATGATACTTAGACTCGGGTTGTTAAACTCATATGACAGGGAGGAAGGATTGGGTTGTCAAAATCAATCGTGCCATGAAGAACAAAGTGACGTTTGCGGATGACACAACTCTAGCAACCGATGGGATCAAAGATGTTTTGTACATTCCAGGAATCAAATGTAACCTTCTAAGTATTGACCAATTTCTTGAGAAGGGTTACAAGATTCACATGGAAAAAAATGGGTTGTGCGTTGTGGATGCAAATGGAGTTTTGGTCCTTAAAGCACCTATGGCTGCCAATAGAACCTTTAGGTTGAGCTAAAGGTTATGGAGCATAGATGTTTTACCACACTAGCAAGTCAAGAAGAGTGGGCATCTCAATTTTAGAGATCTCAATGACTTGCAAAGGAACAGAATGGTAACGTGGCTTCTATTGATCAACATATCGACTGGAATTTATGAAGAATGTATGCAAGTGAAGCAATATAAGGGTAAATTCATCAAGGACGCATATCGCAGAACCAAGAATCACCTTGAGGTGGTGTATTCGGAAGTGTGTGGACCGATGCAACTATATTTCATTGGTGGCAATATATACTCTGTCACATTTATTGACGATCATAGGAGAAAGATATGTACATACCTAATCAAGAGAAAGGATGAGGTATTTGATGAGTTTAAGAAGTTCAAGTCCACGATTGAGAGGCAATGTGATCACAAACTCAAAGTACTCAAAATGGATGGTGGAGGTGAATATGACTCAAATGAATTTGAGAGGAATTGTAATCCAGAAGAGATTGTACATGAGGTAGTACCACCTTATACACCAAAGAAAAATGGTGTTTCCAAAAGGAAGAATATATCGATCATGAACATGGTGAGAAGCATGTTAAAGGGGAAGAACTTGTCAAAAGAGTCATGAGGAGAAGCGGTGTCCATAACTGCCTATTTGTTGAATAGGTGTCCTATAAAGAATCTTGAGAAGGTAACATCGAAGGAAGCATGGTCGGGATTTAAACTGAATCTTAAACATTTGAGAGTTTTTGGTTCCATGGCATATCAACATGTTTCGGGAAAGCTTAGAAAAAAGCTAGATGATAAGGGAGAAGTGATGATACTTGTAGGGTATCACTCTGCAAGTGGTTACATGTTGTTTGATGCAACAAATAGGAGGGTTGTGATTAACTGAGACGTCATTGTTGATGAAATCAAGGAGCCACAACAACATGTAATTGGTTACATAAAAGTTATTACCAGTTATAGCTTTGAAAATTTAGATTCTGTAGAAATGGAAGGAGCAGAAACTACCATTACTAAAGCCCAAATTGAAGAGAATGTTAGAAGATCAACAAGGAAAAGATGTTTTCCTCAAAGGCTCCAAGATTTTGAGTTGTTTTGAGATAACAAAGTCAATGATGATGGTGATTTCGTCCATTTTGAACTTATGGCCGAATCTGAACCCACTAAGGCGAAAGAGGCTTTAAGTGATCCAAAATGGATTTTTGCTATGAAGGAGGAGCTGTAGTCCATTGAAAAGAATAATACATGGGAGTTGGTTGATCTACGGGATGGAAAGAAGTCAATTGGTATGAAATGGGTGTTCAAAATGAAGGAAAATCATAAGGGTGAAATAATCAAGCATAAGGCTCAGATGGTTGCTAAGGGATTTTTGAAAAGAGAAGGCATAAACATTGAAGAGGTATTTACACCGGTTGCTAGGATTGAAACCATTAGGCTTGTTATTGGTATTGCAAATAACCACAATTGGGCCATATGCCAAATGGACGTCAAATCTTGCTTTTTGAACTGACCCCCTGAAGATGAGGTATATGTAGGAAAACCCCATGGTTTTGTTGTGAGAAACCAACAGATGAAATTCTACAAGTTGAAGAAGGCGTTATATGGTTTGAAGCAAGCTCCAAGAGATTGGAACAAAAGAATATATGGTTTCCTAAAGGAGGTTGGCTTCAAGGGATGTGTATATAAGCATGGAGTGTATGTAAAGACGGATACAAATGAAATATTGATTATCCTTTGTCTATGTGTAGACGACTTGTTGATAACGAGAAACAACAGAAAGTGCATTTTTAATTTCAAGGGGGAACTTATTACATAATTTGAGATGTTTTACCTTGGTCTCATGACTTACTTCCTTGGAATTGAGTTCCACAAGTCCAAAAAGGGACTGCTCATGTACCAAAGAAGATATGCTCTTGAGATATTGAAGAAGTTTGAAATGGAGCATTGTAGTGTTGCCATTACTCCAACTGAACCAAGGCTGAAGTTATCAAAGAATGAGGATGAGCAAGATGTTGATCCAACTAAATATAGAAGGTTGATTGGATCCTTGTGTTATTTGTGCAATACACGAACATACTTAGCATTTAGTGTCTATATTGTGAGTAAATTCATAGGGAGATCGAAGGTTTCTCACTTGGCAACAGTCAAGGAGATCCTAACATATGTCAATGGTTTTGCTGGCTGTGAAATTCTCTTTCCCGTAGCGGATACGGGAAAAATGCAATTTTCTCGACTTTATCGATTCCAAGTAGTGCGGAGATAAAGATGATCAAAATTCTACAAATGGATGCATCTTTATGTTTGGTGCAACACCAATCTCATGAAGTTCTAAGAAGGAACTAGTAGCTGCACTATCATCTTGTAAGGCAGAGTACATTGCAACT